TTTGCCATAGCACCACCACAAAAATCCTAGAGAACAAAGCATTAATCTCATTTTGTATAATAATGTTCTCTCAAGATCTGCTAAGGGGAATTATCAAGAAATAAAAACCTAAAACAGCACAGGAGTAAATCATTCAATAACTTATAAAACTAATTATAATATTTAATTCCTTTTAATAAGTATCACAAGAGTGGTATTTACTTCCTTGAAGACCTCTGAAAAGAATATATTATTTTTTCAAATTTGTCTGAAACACCCTTGAAAAAAGTAGCTAAAATGATAAGCTTTCACAGACATTATCATAATAACGTAAGCTACCAAAACTGAATACTTGTTTGCTAAGCATTTTACATATATTATCTTATTGCACATTATAAAATAGACATCATCATCCCCGTCATATATATGTGAAAAATAAGATTCACTGACTACGTTATATGCTCTGGGTCTCATAGCTAGTAAATAAAGGTGGGAACCGAATTCATTTCTATGTGACTCTGAAAGCAGTACTCTTTTTTTTTTTTTTTTTTTTTTTTTTTTTTTTTTTAAAGATTTTATTTATTTGACAGAGAGAGACACAGCGAAAGAGGGAACACAAGCAGGGGGAGTGGGAGAGGGAGAAGCAGGCTCCCCACAGAGCAGGGAGCCCGATGCGGGACTCGATCCCAGGACTCTGGGATCATGACCTGAGCTGAAGGCAGTCGCTTAACCAACTGAGCCACCCAGGCGCCCTGAAAGCAGTACTCTTATCCATTCATTATACCAGTGCTTCCCAACTTTTGTCACATAATGGCACACACTGAAAATGGTATTTGTAAGGCTTATAAAAGTAAGTAAAAATAATGTATATTTTCTTTATATCATAAAGTTATGACATGAAAAATAAAATACAAAGTATTACAAATGATATTAAATACGAATTGGCATAAACCTTCCTAATAAAATATTTGCAATTGCCATGTTCCCAAAGTTTAAAGAAATCATACTAAAAATGTTCAAATATCATTTCAACCATTGCAAAATTTCAAAAAGTTATGAAAATGATTTAAAATTTTAAAACTGTAAGGGCGCCTGGGTGCCTCAATAAGTTAAGTGTCTGCCTTCAGCTCAGGTCGTGATCCCAGGATCCTGGGATTGAGGCCCCCAAAGGGGCTCCCTGCTCAGGAGGGAGCCTGCTTCTCCCTCTCCCTCTGCAGCTCCCCCTGCTCATGCTCTCTTGCACTCTCTGTCAAATAAATAAATAAAAATCTTTAAAAAAAATTAAAATTAAAAAAAATGAAATTTCAAAACTACAGAAAAATTTACAAACAGCAACTTGTATGCCATCCTATGTACTGCACTCTGGTTGGGAAGCTTTGCATAATATAATTTTGTCTTTCTACATAATATTGTGATTAAATATTAATTTGACATTATCAAGATCTTCCCAATAACACACCTAAAGGAAACTCAAATCAAAGGTGATAAAAAAATTCTAACACTTAAGTATTCCTTAACTAATTCTGCCCACCCTAGCTGCTGCTGCTTTTTTTTTTTTTAAGATTTTTATTTATTTGACAGAGAGAGACACAGCAAGAGAGGGAACACAAGCAGAGGGAGTGGGAGAGGGAGAAGCAGGGTTCCCGCGGAGCAGGGAGCCTGGTGTGGGGCTTGATCCCAGGACCCTGGGATCATGACCCAAGCCGAAGGCAGGAGTTTAACGACTGAGCCACCCAGTGCCCCTGTCCACCTTGGCTTCTTAATTTTAATTTCTATAGTACCTATAATCTGTAACATTCTTTTTGATTTAATAATAACAATAATAGTTAATATTCACTGAGCTGATCCTATGCGCCAGGCTGTATTCCACTTTACATTATTATCATTAATGCTCACAGCACTCGTATAGTGCCTCTATTTTCTCCATTTTAAAGATGAGGAAACGGAGCAGAGCAAAATTGAGTAAATAACTTTCCCAAGGTTACAGCTGGTAAATGGGAATTAGAATTTGAAAGAGTATGACTTCATAGCTCATGTTGTTACTCATTATACTAAACTACATCCCTCCAAAAAAGAAAACACAGTAATATCTAACAAACACCTATTATGTGCCAGGAGAGACACAGGTAACCAAATATATCTCAACTTAGACTAAGTTTGACAGTTTCACAGTGATGAAGTAAAAATTACTTGCATGTGCATCAAAGGAGGTATTCTACAGGGAAAAAAAAAGTTATCCATATACTGTGATGAGTGCGTTCTGTTTACAGAAAATACTTCAACTTCTGTGCATTATGATATGGTTCAAGCAAGAGCATCTGTGTCTGCAACTATTTATATTTGTTGACTTAACTTGCTCAAGAATATTTAAAAAATCTTACTTAAAACAATGAAATTGATAAAAATTAAAAGGAAATGTTTTAGTACTTTGATTTTTACTTACTGCTTTTGAAGTTCGCGAAGTCATCATGAGTTTAATTTTGTTTTTAATTAAATGCACTATTTATAAAGTCCCGAATAAAGGTTTTTCCAGACATTTGCTTGCCTAAATTCTGCCTGCCAAATCCTGCCATTTGGAAGAAAGCCTCACAGTTTACAACTGTATTATAATAGGCTAATGTCCTGAGGGGATCTCTGATGGGCTAATGTAAATCAAAACATTTACAGAAGATGAAAATATACCTTTAATTTCATAACCAATCAATCAACACAAATGTTAATGCCTTGAGTATTATGGTTTAAGTTAAACATCTGAAAGAGCCCAAGGAGCAATGTCCAACATTAGGTGGTTCATGCTAGTAAATATTTAAGAAGCATCTACTATGTGCCACAGACCATGCTCACCCACAAATCATACCTGTTAAACAGAGAGTGGCAGTCTAGAATTACAATCTGAATTCATGTGTCATGAAAGGTCAGGTATTCAAACCAAAAGCTCAAGCTCCAATGCATAACTTTCCCCCTATATCCAAAGAGCTGTTCCTAGGCTTCTGCAATCTACAAACCACTAAGTATGTTAACATGAAGAGACTAGCATGGGCACCTAGCACATCCTGGAGTACAACGTAAGCCTTGGGTTATGGTGGTGCATTCTGTCCTCCAGGGCTTTACACCATGAAAACTTGGCACTTCTCCTAAAGCAACTTCTTTTTCTCAAAAATTAATTATTTTAAAAAGTTCTACTGAAGGCGCCTGGGTGGCTCAGTCGTTTAGCATCTGCCTTCGGCTCAGGTCATGATCCCAGGGTCTTGAGATCGAGTCCCCACATCGGGCTCCCTGCTCCGCGGGAAGCTGGTTCTCCCTCCCCCACTCCCTCTGCTTGTGTTCCCTCTCTCTGTGTTGAAAAATAAATAAAATCTTTAAAAAAAATAAAAAGTTCTACTGCAAAAAAAAGGTTCTGTTACTTACAGAAACCATTACTCCTACTTTTTCTTCTCTAACAGAACCGTAGAAAATACTAATAGTAAAGAAACTGTGACTTAACTAATTGGTAAGCTGATGCCAGGGTACTTTATATGATTTACTGAGCCTCTAGAAACCAGTCTAGGGGTGCCTGGGTGGCTCAGTCTGCTGAGTGTCTGCCTTCGGCTTAGGTCATGATCCTGGAGTCCTGGGACGGAGACCTGGGATGACGTCCCGCCATCTGGCTCCCTGCTCAGCGAGGAGTCTGCTTCTCCCTCTGCCCTTCACCCGGCTCATGCTCTCTCTCACTCTTGCCCTCTCTCAAATAAATAAAATCTAAAAAAAAAAAGTTTCAAAAATCTTTAAACTAATCATGCTGAGTAAAATGCATCTGCCCATACCTAAAAGCTGCTCAAGGGGCGCCTGGGTGGCTCAGCCGTTAAGCGTCTGCCTTCGGCTCAGGTCATGATCCCAGGGTCCTGGGATCGAGCCCCACATCAGGCTCCCTACTCTGCGGGAACCCTGCTTCTCCCTCTCCCACTCCCCCTGCTTGTGTTCCCTCTCTCGCTGTGTCTCTCTCCGTCAAATAAATAAATAAAATCTTAAAAAAAAAGCTGCTCAAAACGAGTGTTGGGTAAAATAAACTCTAACTTTCTGAAGTCAATGTTTTTAGTTTGGAGAGATAGCTCACCAGAAGTCTGTCACAGCTTTTATAGCGTATCCAATCTTATAATTTATCCTAAGGTAACTCCATTCCCACTGCACATCATCCCTAGCAACTATTCAGCAACTCCCAATATGTAATCTATTGTCCACTACATCTTTTGCCACAAACCTCAAACCAGCCAGTCCTTAAATTTCCTCAGCTCACACCACCTTCCCTTTTACAAAAACAAGGGAAGGAATTATAAAGCCTTAAGAGAGTAAAAATGATAGAAGGAGGTGGAAATATAGACAGCCTCTGCACCCAAGCTCTTTTCCTTTGTATCCGAGAACTGTTGTCAATTATCTCAACCACACACCTTCACGTTCCTGAGTAATCCAGGGTTCCTCCACCTTACCGACAGTTCAAAATGCCCACTTCATAATAAATGACAGGGTCCTTATGTGATCACTCTGTCCCAGCCCCTCTATTTATATTAATCATTCAAGCATCCCAACTCCATCCTAAAGTATCACCACGCTCCAAACTCATAAGCCATTATACAAGCCCCCCACACTCTATCCCGTCCTCTTTGCTATCAACATACTCCAACCCCTTGTAAAACCTTCCCTAATATCAGCTCTTCCTTTATGAGCTTTTCGCGTATTCCTAACACAGTCTCAAAGTCCTCCTGCCCACACTCCCAAGCTCTCTTCACTAAACGCCAATTCCAGCACGGAGTCACACCCTCCCTCCAGACCAATTCCTACAACCCCAAACCCCACCCCCTCAGCACGCCCTCCGGGGCCTAAGCGACCAACCCAACACCCCGCCCCACGCCCGTCACGCCCTCCAGATCCCTCCAGGGTCCTTTCAGCCGGCCGGGCCAGATCCCCCCCCACCCCCCAGGGCTCCAAGTGCCCAGGCCCTCCCGTTCACCCCGCCAGTCCCGCCAGCCCCGCCCCCAGCCCCTCACCGAGTAGCAGAAGCTTCACTTCTTTGGCCGCTTTCTCTCCGTCCTCCCGCAAGTTGCGGTCGATCATCTTGCTCCGCTCCACCGCCGCCTTGTCCTCGGCGCTCAACGTGCAGCCCATGGCGGCGGCGGGAGAGGGGACCGAGCCCGGGCTCACTCACACACCGCGGAAACTGCGACTCGGGCGCCTGAGACAGCGTCTACTGCTGGGCGGCGGCCCACTCCGTCAGCTCCTTGAGCGCCCGAAGAAACCGGATATCCGGCGTTTACGACACTTCCGGCAACGCCCCACGGCGGTTACTGCTCAAAACTCTCCAGCTGGGGTAGAGGAGGAGCAATGGAAAGCGGAAGTACGGAGAGAGGACCTGTGAGTCCGAGCGGTGGTTCCCGGAGTAGCGATGTCTTGTCGGGCACCTGGTACGCGGCTCGACCTTAGTGCCTCTTCTCCTTTTCGGCTGCCTTATTTGGATAAATGTAGAAAAACTAGGGACTGGCTTCCCCAGTTGGTGGCGCCCTCCTGAGGTCAAGCCGGCTTTGGATGGGGGCTGGGGGTTCCCAAATAAGAGTCCCCAGCCCGCACAGGAATTTCTGCTGGGAATTTCTCACTGGTTAGAAAGCCCCTTTGATCTCCGGCTGTGGAGACCCGAAGCCCCTTCGCAAGTGTACGACACTGCCGGGGTTGTCTCAGCCCGATCTACGGGATGGGAACAAACAGCAGAGCCTGGGGCCGGCCACGCTTCACATCTTGAGATCTGTAAGGCCGACCACGCCTGGGACCTTAGCATCCCCTTCTGCCCTCCCCTCTGTCCCACCGCTTCCTGCTCTCAGGATGTATCCCGGTCCTTGTGCCGTTACCTACGAGTTGCCCAGCGACTATGTTGACAAAAGGCCACCTGAAATCGCCCAATATTCTATTTCCTGAAAGGTAGAGTGTAGTTCTCCACAAGATTTCCGTGCTACCTTTCTCCAGTATAAGCCAGTTTTAGCGCGGATAAATGATCCTGCTTTAGGGGCTTCAGACTCCTACCAAGATCAGTTAACCTCAGGCCCACACCCCAAAACAAACCAGTGCATCCTGTGAATCTCCCTACTGAAATTTCCTGTTGTAGTACCACCCAAAAAGGGAAGTTCTAGTAGATTTGTCTCTCAGCTCTAGCATCACCTGAAAATAAACCTCCATGAAAGCCTCAGACTCCTAGCCTTTTCATTCATAATCCTGGGTACTACCCGTGAAAGTGGCCCTGAATTACCTTTACTGCCAAATAGCTGCACAAATACTCTCACCATATATTCTAGAGAGGAGAACTCTTGTGGTCCCCCCAACCGTTCCCTGGGATTAAAAATTATTTCCCTAATAGAATTTAAACCTTAGCATATAAGGTCCCAACAGAAAGGTCTATATGATGATGTTTCATTGATTAGAGGGATTTCTTGAGAACCACCTTAAACAACTTCATCCACTATAACTTAGTAATGCCAGTTCTTCAAAGTTTGAAAAGCCTCCTACTCATTCTCAAATGACTGTTAGAATAAAAAGGATGGCTTTCCCATAATCAATACTTATGGGGGGATAGGGCAAGAGGAAAGGGAAGAAAAACCAATATTTACTGAATACCTATTCGCCAGGTATGGCTAGGTTCTTCCATATGGTCATCTCTTTTAATCCTCACAACAACCCTGTGAGGTAGGTAATGTTACCCCCATTCTTACAGATGAAGAAATAGGCTCAGAGAAATTAAGCATCTTTCCCAAGTTCACACAGTGAGTAAGTAGATGTCTGCCTCCAAACTCACCCCTTTTCTACCCTGCCACTATAAGATGTTACGTGGGGAGACCTGACAACAGAAAGTTTTCATCTAGGCTTGAGAGTTACCCCAACACCACCCAGGTGCAGGAAAAGTAACTGACGGGTCGGTTGTCTCAGCCTGTTGATTCTTGAGCCCACTAGAGAGGTCAAATTTTGTCCAGGAACAGCCTTCATAGCCAAGATAGCAAACTTTAGCAAGCAATCCTGGTGACTAGAAAACAACTGGAAGGTGGTCATGGCAGAAACTGTTGGGAGAATTCTCAGCATAATAGAAGAGAAATTTTTATTTCCTTCATGATCCACTCAGACAGGGAAAAATAAATGCAAATGAACCAGCCTATGTCAAATTCTGTAATAAACACCAGTGAGATCACAGTGTCAGGAAATATCAGCCCGAATTCGAGATATCCTTGCACTTAAAATTTTCTTTTTTGATGTATGTGAAGGAAGGGTTGGAGGGCAAAGTCACAGGAAAAAGGCAAAATAAATTAACAAAATGGCTGCCAGGCAATGTTTCCTGTCCTCCCCTCTCCTCACTCCTTCTCCCCATCCCCACCTCCCCCCCGTGCATGCACCTTTCCTGTTTCCACTGGACTCACACTGCCACCTGCTGGCAATACTTAGGGCCTACTAGCCGATCCGTGATGTTTGAAGAAGAGTTTTTTTCCCCTTATCTACGAATGAGATGCCTCCCTCATGAGTTTATCTTAAAAGGGAGGAGAGCGAGAATTACATGTTTTTCAATCATGAAAGATTCTCCTATCTAGGGGATTTCCTCAGTGTAATAGGTTCTAGACTAAAGTAAGTCTGGTGGTAGGAAGACAAACCTGTAAATTTTCCTACATCTAAAGGGGAAAGCTGTTTGCCCAGTTTCAGTTAATAAATTCTTTTCCTCAACTAGAATTTCATTTACAACCCTCACACTTTCCACAATCCGCAGGAAGCTTCCATGTAGGTATCTTTACTGCAGTGGACTGAGCTCCAATATATTTCTCAAACATTCTTTAGTGCTTTACCAGATATAAATGCTCTGTAAAAATACAAGGTACCTGATAAAATTAGACTATGAACTCCTCAAAGGCAGTGACTCTGTGGGCCCATAGAATACTAGGTATTCAACTATTATGCACTGAATTGAACTGAAATAGTAAATGTTGATATCAGTATAACTTTTTATAATAAGTATTTATTGGCCATTCAAAGGGGAAACTATCCCACTCCCACCAGCCCATCTTACCCTTTAATGTTCAATGAGGCAGGAATTTGTCCAAATACAGATCAAAGCGCCCTCTGTTCCTGCCTGAACCCTTGAATGTTACTTGATTCAACTGAGGGAAGTGGATGGACAGGTAATCCCAGATGGGCGTCCTGTCCAGTTTGCAACTATTTCCCCTCCCTTGCAAATACCACCACCAATACCAGCCAACAAGTTCCTACAGTCTCAATCAGTGAACAGCTGAACCCAACTCCCGTGCCCTCTCTCCAGCCCAGGGCTGCAGATAGGAGAGAGATTTAAGTCTTTGTCACTGAAGCTAATTTTGAGAGCGATGAATGGGAGTAGGGAGGCATTTAATGGACCATAGAAACCCCACCCTTCCCATTCCCAACCTTAGTCTCTTGTACCCGATTGTCCAGGGGGCTGGAGGTGGGTCACTGCCATGAGGAGAGAGATCAGGGAGGCCACTCCTAGGAAGAAAAAAAAAGATTTACAGTATTATTGGTCAAGGTGATTATTTGGCCTCTCTGTATCCACCCACCTTAGCAATTCAAATGCTAACCCCCACCTTCAGCCACCCAACCCCCAATCTTTCCACTCCTTCATTCTAAAAAATGAGAAAGAGCCATCCTGTTGTATCCTTGCCTTTGCTGAGATCTCCCATGTGCAGGAGAAAGACAGCAAAATAGAACAGAAGGGCTGTTCCCAGAGGGTGGGAGAGAGCTGCAGTCAGCTCTCCTGCCTTCTCCTCTTTGTACCCTGCTTTTCCCCTTGCTTCTGGCCAAACTTGGGAGAGGAATATACCCAGCTGGCCCTCTCAGTTTAAGGAAACCTCAGGTCTAAAACTAGAAAATGATCCATTAACTCAAATAAAGCTGTACTTTATCTAGGTTTTTTTTAAACCTAACAAGGAAAGGAGAAGACACAGGTCATTTTCTTACCTTGCTTGGGTACAGTTACTGCCCTGGACAATTACACTGAAAAATGAAATATCCTAAAGAATCCCCAGGATAACTCCAAACCTGGCCTGCCGCTCTATATCCTCCAACTCCTACCCTTAGGGAGTCTCTCTGCTTCCTGAGGCATGGAAAGTTCGCTGGTTGAAAGGAATCATCTCACCTTCGTGACCCTTTATTCTCATTACCATCTCACCAGGTTCCCTCCCCCAGTAGTCAAGGATCATAGCCATGTCCAAGGCTTTTGCCACACGTTCATCCTGTTGGCATTGTTCCTGACCCAGAAAACACTAAGCAAAAGCTGTGTGCAGAGACCCCAGCCCCAGCCCCTGCTAGCCGGGAACAGGTGATCCCACAAGGTGTTCCTTCAGTCATAAGTGGCCCCAGCCCCATCTCCCTCCAAGTGGCCAGAAGCCCGTCATGATTCTAGTCGAGGTGAAGGGGCGGGACGGAGGTAGCTGTCCGACATGATGATGTCGCTGGTGAGTTGTTGCTCCAGGAACTCAGAGGTCTCTTCAGCTATCTGGCCTGGAATTCGAAAGTCCACAGCAGGTGTCTCTTGCTTGGGGCTGGGGAGGGGTCTGGAAACCCAGGACTCCGTGGGACAGCCTGTACCCTGAAGGAACTGCAGAAAGTTCTCCTCAATGGAGCCCTCCCGGCTAGGTAGCCTCAGCTCCTCCTCTGGAGCCGGCTTGAAGAAGCAGACAAACTGCTTGCTGAGCTCCCCCCGGATCTGCCGGTTGAGACATCCATAAAAGAACGGGTTGGAAGTGAAGCAGAAGTAGCCGATCCAGGTCACCACGTTCTCCACCTGCCCAGTCGAAATGGGCTGAGCACTCAGGGCAACGTAGAGGTGGAAAGAAAAGTAGGGCAACCAACAGAGCAGGAACTGTCCCCCCACGGCCAGGAGGACCACTGCAGCCTTCCCTCCCCCGAACGTCCGGTGCGGGGTGGTCTGGGGGGCCCCCGAGCTGGTGACCATAGTGGAGCGGCTGCTGAGAGACTCAGAGCGTTGCCGGGGTGTCTCCATCCATGTGGGCAGCGGTCCGTGCTGCATGGCAGCCACTCGGGCTACTCGGAACATGCTGCAGTAGACCACAAGGATGAGGAGCAGAGGCAACAAGAAGTAAAGGACAGCAAAGACCACCACAAAAAGCTGACAGTAGGCACTGCGGCTCCATTGGAGTGAGCAGCCTGGGGGGATGCTGGGAGCTCCCTCCTCCCGGGAGACCCTTCCCAACACCGGCACAGAAGCCATGGCCAAGGCTTTCACCCACAC